CATTTTAAAGATTAAATTAGCTGACAAAAGCTCAAAACTATCCAGTTTTTCCCACAATTAAAGCTAACAGATGCTAACATTGTCTTAACTGATGCTCAACACACAAATTTGTTAAAATCTCAAAAAAAGTACTCGAGGGTTTCTTGAACCTTTAACACAATTTAAAATCAACCAATCATCAACGTCATTTAACCTCATTATTGGACATTAAAATAACTTTGTCCTTAGATGCTGGCTAGACATTAAATTTTGGTCACCTAACATCACAACCTGAATTTAATCTAATAATAACGTCTTATGATGTTGTGTGCCTGCTGAGCAGTAACTAAATGCATTGCAGAATGTTACGTTTACACCGTTTTCCTGAACGAATGACCTTTAATACAAGGAGTGTGTTTTCCAAAAGCATTGTTAGCCAACGGTTGCAAGTTCCATTATTACAAACAATGTTTCAGTTTTTCTTAATGTATAGCTCTAATGAACTACAATGAAAAAGCATGGCAAACTTGCAACAGCTATTGATGCAAACTAATTTTTGATCTGTGGTTAGAAGCACAGATTCTTTTAATGTGTCAAATGGACTCAAACAAGAGTCTGCAATATGGGCAAGCTGGCTTGCAGTGCAATCTGTATATTCCATGAAGTTTTATGCCAGTACATCTTTATCTTTATTAGTTCAGCAGTGTTGCTGTACAGTAAATGAACACATGTTTGTTTGGGCAAAAGAATGAGAATTAAAGTGGGAAAAAGTCATTAATAGCATGAATGTGTTTTGTTGTGCTTCATAAAGATAAATTAATTAAACATTATTCTCCGACCTCGGGATCCCCCAGGAGGATCTGGAGGAAGTATCTGGGGAGAGGGAAGTCTGGTGTTCTCTCCTAACGCTGCTGCCCCAGCGTCCCAGCCCCGGAAAAGTGGTAGAAAATGAATGAATGAATTCTTTTTTCGTGTTGGTGTGGGTTTTCTCCGGGAGCTCCAGTTTCCCCCACAGTCCAAAGACATGCGCTATTGGTGAATTAAATAAACTAAAATGGCTGTAGTGTATGAGTGTGTGTGTGTGTGTACAAGTGTGTGTGTGTGTCAATGCAAGAATGTATGGGTGTTTCCTAGTATTGGGTTGCAGCTGGAAGGTTGGCGAATAGTTGGCGGTTCATTCTGCTGTGGTGACCCCTGATAAATAAAAGGACTAAGCCAAAGGAAAATGAATGAATGAATGAATGATAGATATATAGGAGTATTCTTTTCAGTTCCCCCAGTACTTTTCCTCACATCCTCACAAGTATTTAAATTGTTAATGCAACTATTAAAGGTTTAGTTCACTGTACTTTTTGACAGAAAGTCTGTTCACTAGTTGGAAGTCTATTCAGTCTTCTGTGCCTCCATTTTGCCTTCCGGGTTCTTAAAAAAAGTAACCCTGGGCACATATTCCCAGTGACTCTGTGTTGATCACTTTATATAATGAACAGTTTTTGTTTAGGCGTTCATTCACATTTAAAGTCTGACCGTCAAACAGCTTTTAAATTCAATGAGAAATTTCGGTTCATTCAGAAGTTCAAGCATTCTTGCTTGATATGTGAGAACCAATAATAAGAGTTGCTCTTGCATTTCACATGGTAGGTTTGAGCTTCTACAGAAACCAATAGGATTTGTTCTTGTGCCTCAAGCAGGTTTAGTTGAGCTTGTGTGTATATTTGCTGATCAATGTTTATACCTGAATAATGTAATAAAATAATATAGTAAAGTATACAGTACTTGTGCCTCTTCATAAGACTTTTTACTGCTAAAGAAAACAAACTGCTTAGTTCCTGTGGATTTATTTTACAATTTAATTGAAAGAATTTGAGATGTTGGGTTTTGGGAGAATCATTTGAATCATATACATTTGAATCATTTACATGCGTCTCTTGTTCTTAAAGATTTATCTTTCTGAAATTGAAATATTAGTGATTTGGGAGAAAAGACTTCTTCCAGTGTAAAAAACAATGTAAAAATAACTTTATTTATATTCTGAAGACTGAAGACAAAAGTCGTACAGGTTTGAAACTGTGAGGGTCAGTTACTCATCACATATTATAGGACAGATAGAGAAGAAGCCCTGCAGTTCTAATCATAATAATGCATGGGGCATGTCTTGTATGGTTTAAACCTTCAACAGATTTCCAGATTTGCACCTCAGTTTTTTTTTTACACTATACCCATTTATTAGTTGAGTTGAGGAATTATTTAGAGGTCTGCAGTGGTGTTTTTGCCTCAGTGGTGTTGGAATGGCAACAGTAAGATCTTTCTGGTCCAATCCCTCTTGATAATACCTCTGTATGTTTGGCTTATGTCAGATTTATGCCAAACTACATCTGATCTTGCATAATAAAACTTGAAAACCTGGACTGTCTGTTGTTATATTTTATAACAATAGCCAAAAACATTGTACGTGTCAAAATGAAGATGTTTTGCAAAATCCTTATATCAAAAAGCAATTTTTGATTAGTAATATGCATTCCTGTGTAATTTATTGGTTAAAATTTAATTTTTTCTACAACAAAGTATTTACTTTGTTTTGAACCCCCAGATTCCAAATATTCAAATAGTTGTGTCTTGACCAAATTTTGTACTATCCTAACAAACTATAGATCATTATCCTGATTTCATGTCATTATTAAATCTAAATTAACAAAAATTGACATTGGGGTTGTGATCCATATGTGCTCCACATCAGAGCTTGGAAGCTCTAAGTCCACAGAGAGAAAAAGAGGACGGAGTGTGAACAAGTCGATGAAATATTGAGTAAAACATGAAGGTAAAATGATCTGATCGGAACTCTGATTATGAGTTAAATACAGGCGAAGGAATCCTCTTGCTTAAGCACGCTGAGCACAGACACCCCGCTTGCACATGCCAACTGGCCCAGAAGTGATAGATGAGCTGAAGGCAAAGCAGGGGGGTGGATGGGCATCAGGAAGGGCAGCTACAAGCTAAGAGACAGAGCCTGAGAAACAGTAGAGGGCATTCTGAGGCCAACCTGGGGTGTAAAAAAAGAGCAAAATGACCAATTTGATAATATAGTAGGAGGGATATTGAGAACAGGACTATCTGAAGCGGCACATCTGCAGAATGCATTACAGGGTGTGCAGTGCATTGGTGTGTTTTTTCTGCCTGCGTGCAGCAAAGCCGAGCTCAGGTTTCGGCAGTGTGCGGCAGGGGGCCGTCTCCTGTTGACGCGTGATGATTTAGTCAGGTGTGAGCGTGCACTTTCCAATTTGGGGGGAAATAAATTAGAAGTGATTTTTTATGAGGACTGTGTCCCAGTTCCCTGGCTTGCAATCCACCCCTACTGTGCACTGTCAACCCAACTGATGTGTTTATAAAGAGAGCTGAGGCTGGACCTCCGGGATCTTTCTATAACGCGCACACACAAACACACACACACACACACACAATGACAAACTTCAGCTTCTTTTGCAAACCTACACAAACACATGCATTTTGAATAAACAACTCATAAAATGGAAAAATAGCTATTATAGATGAGCTGCTTAATATTTTTGTGTTAATTTTTCAGATTACTTTTGCAAGTTATTAGTGTTCAGAATCATATTTAACACAATATAAATCTGGACATTTGGAAGGATTTTAGATGTTTAAAATTATTCCATGAGCAAATTTCTAATTTTTCATATATTTGTACAAATTATGTTCAATTATACTAACATAGAAAATAGCAAATGGATTCTCAAATTCATGTTTTGGATACATTTTTTTATTTAGATTTCTACCTAAACTGTTAGGTATATTAAAACTGGTAATGAAAAAATGTAATTTTATTCAGTTTTGAAGGCTGTCTTAAACTTTGTGAACATGATAAAACATTTAATATAATTAAATATGCATAGATAGATGGATGGATTGACGGACGAACAGAAGGACAGTTGAAGTCAGAATTATTAGCCCTCCTGTTTATTTTTTTACCCCAATTTCTGTTTAACAGAGAGAAGATTTTACCAACATATTTCTAAATATAGTAGTTTTAATAACTCATTTCTAATAACTGATTTATTTTATCTTTGCCATGATGACTAAATAATATTTTACTAGACATTTTTCAAGACTCTTCTACACAGCTTAAAGTGACATTTAAAGGTTTAAGGTTAATTAGCTTAACTAGGCTGGTTGGGGTGATTAGGAAAGTTACTGTATAATAATAGTTTGTTCTGTAGACTATCGAAAAATATAATTTAAAGGGGCTAATCATTTTGACCTCAAAATGGTTTTTAAAAAATTAAAAACTGCTTTTACTCTAGCCAAAATAAAACAAAAAAGACTATCTCCAGAAGAAAAAATATTATGAGACATATTGTGAAAATTTCCTTGCTCTGTTACACATCATTTGGGAAATATTTAAAAAAAGAAATAAAAAAATCAAATGGGGATTAATAATTCTGACTTCAACCAGATAGATAGATAGATAGATAGATAGATAGATAGATAGATAGATAGATAGATAGATAGATAGATAGATAGAATAATTGCTTAATATATGACATTTTTAAGCTTTCTAATACTCAATGGTGTTATATTTGCTTTATTGTAACAGCATTGTAATTTTTACTAAGAGTTGAGTTGAGTTTTTTATTGAGAAATGTGACTTTTTTTGTAGTTATGTATACTTTTCTTCATTTTAATTAATTTATCTGCATTTATTTATATTGTTAATAAATCAATTTGTGCTAAATAAAAATGAGAACATTTCCTTAAATAAAATGTGCATGTTTATATTTCATTTTATATTAGTTAGTTTAGTTGTCTATTTTATTCATACTTAATTTTTTATTATTATTGTTACTATTTTTGGTGTGAAATTGGTCCTGTCATATTTTACCTCACCACATGTTGCTTGCTTCTTCTCACTGAGAATTTCTGTAAATCAAGATAAAGCTATAATTGTACCATCAAAGCTGGCAAAGGAAAAGAACATTTTCTCTCACTCTTTTTCTTTTCCCCAGTGCCGCTTGAAGACTAATATTTTTGCAGAGGAGGCTGCAGTGAGTGGGCCGAGCCGAAGGAAGCAGCCCGACTGAGCTCCACAGGAGGCTGTGCTCAGGAAACCCAAACCCTCAGTGACCCCTGACCTCTGCTACTGCTGCAACATCTGCACCAGAGAGACCAAAATGAAGAAAAAAGATGAGGAACAGACATTGAGGTACAGTGAGGATGAGGAGTAAAAATGTCAAGTGTACAGTACGCAGAGAACGAGAGAAGCGGTAAAAGGAAATGCTCTGCTGTTGTCCAGAATTGTCCATCAGATGAGCTGCTATGGTTTGGTTTGAGTGGTCAGACTGTGAGAGATGGTAATCTGGACTATTACTGTAATCCTCTGTCAGCAGTGGTAGAAGCGGCTGGAAACAAGCTCTCTCCGACCATCAGACTCGCTCGCTGAGGGTTTGCAGGCAGCAGTTTCAACTTTCTTCCCTTAAGCATGAATGAAATTGTGAAGCCTTTGGATCTGACATTATACTGTATGTATTGGGGAGACCAAGGCTAGTGGACAAGTGATTCTTTATTTGTTATTTCAGCGATGTATTCCTTAAAGTGTTTGTTTATTTGACTTTCAAACTGTTTACAACCAATATAAACGTCCCGTGAAGTCCTTTGAAATGTGCACTTTTTATTTTATTATTTGGCGTAATCTCAACTGAAAGCTGTAAAAATGGTGGGACATGTAGTAGGTCCTTTTTAAAAAAAAACAACAGCCAATAGTGTTTTGTTTTTATCACAGCTCTTCCAGTGAGTGGTGGAGTTCAAACTCATCAAATGAGAAGCAAATGAGAAGCATCTTGAAGGGGGTGGGGAATGTCAGATAGCAGAGAGCGTATGATTGGTCAAGATTTGATTAGAAACTGAAGTATGAGGTGATCTGAAAGATGGCGGAAGTGACAAACTGCACACTAAAAACAAAATTTGTCACTGTTTTGGAGCACATTAGCTAATAGATATCCTTGAAACGTACACACTGAAAATAACATCTGGAATTTTTTATTTTAATTTCACAAGACCTTTAAATTAGTAATAGTCATCCTTTTTTTGCAATAACTTTTAGATAAGAAATAAACTAAACAAAAAAATTATAGCAAATTCTCATATGTTAAAAATTAAACATTGCTGTGTGACTATTAATGTTTAATTAATAAAAAAACAAGTTGTATATAGGTTGTAGGTGAATTACATGAGCTCTCTCTCTCTCTCTCTCTCTCTCTCTCTCTCGTGTTATTAGTAAAATTAGTTAACAGTAATATTAGTGACCTCCAAGTGATGACGGGTGCCCAATACGTCTAAATCCATCTAAAGCAGACCTTCCTCGGCTAGTCATTCTGACATTTACCCTGACTTTGAAATCATTTTGGGTGTTTAACAGTCTTTGCTTTCATAAATGAATTACTTTTATTACAGTTTATTATGTATTGGCTAAGCACAAAGTTATGTTTATTAAATATTATTTCCCATTTCCATGTTAACCTTATAAGATTAATTAAAGGTGCAGTACAACCAAAAAGATGTTGGTAACCAGCTCATTTTTAGTGCTGCAATAACATACTGTTATTTATAAATACCAAAAAAAAGTGCCAGTACTAGCATAAAAGTTCTTTTGTATTAATTTCTAAGTTGAAAAAAATAAAAAAAGTTTGATTTCCTGTAACTAACGTGCAAAAGATATAATCCTTTTTACAGTAGTTTGCTGAAATCATGCTACCTGCCTCAATTTCACAATAAAATTATGAATACAACATATTACTGTAAATTTTTTGTTAAATCCTGTAAAGTTATACTAATGCAATTTACAGTGAAAAATTACAGTTACTTATGAAAATATGGTATATTTTACAGTGCAGCTATAAAAAAAATTAAGAGACCACTGGAAGTCTCTACACTTGAAGATTCTCCGGATTTATGGTTTATATATTTTGTGTCTGAGTAAAATGTTTGTCACAATTTATTTTAAGGTGCAATTCTTGCTATTGATTTACCAATTGACTATGATTTTTGCCTTAGTAAACTCTCAATTTGCTGCTTTTAAATAGTTAGTAATTAAGTAATTAAGGTAGTAGTTTGGTTTAGGTATTGGGTAGGAATGGAGATGTAGAATAAGATCATGCAGAATATTTACTTTATAAGTACAAAAAAAACCCGGCAATATCTTAATAATACTGTAGGTAGGTAACAAACCACTATAATTAATATTGAGAATTGGAACTTAAACTAAAGTGTTCCCCAATGTTTTTGTTGTTGATTTACTCTGAGAATTACTGATGGCATTTCCTCCAAATTTAAAAGAAAACTGTTGCCATTTAGATATTTTTGTTGCATAAAAAAAAAAAAAAACATATATATGTATATATATATATATATATATATATATATATATATTTTTTTTTTTACAAATAACAGCTGTTTAATTATAGAAATTTACTGTAAAATAATGACCATTAAATTACAGAAATTTACAGTAAATTTTAATTTCTAGTAGATTTCTGTAATTTACTGTAATTACTATTTTATTTCCCCCCAACACACACACACACACACAAAATCAGATTTTTTTTTACAGTGTATATATGTAAAATATATATGGTGCAGCACAAGTACTAGTGGTTCATCCAATCTATGCAGCCAACACTATAAAGAAAAAAAAAACACTTTTGCTGATTGTTCACTTGTTCAAACTACTTTTTATATTGAACTGTATCAACACAATTCTTGTGATTTTTGGGAGGTTATCTTAATGGTTTTATGTTCAACCAATTAAATTTTTTTAATCAATTAACTTAATTGATTTGTGATGGGGCAACATGAAGGTGTTGTGTGGATCCCTGTATTTTTTGTAAACCACTAAAAGTCACTTTGCTCCAACAACTGCTGAAAGGTTCCATGATCTATATGAAAGTGTTGAGTGTTATAAAACTTGATTCACAAGCTATGGACCATTGTTATTTAGCACAAATTGAATGTGTATTATTTAAATGTAATTCATTCTTCTTAGGCAAAGCTGGTTAAAGACTGTTGTGTATTCAGTATTTAATGTCACATAATTATTTAGCAATCATTTTAAAATAATTGTTTGCTGATGAAACTAATACAGTTAATCGTTAAAAAAGTGGAGCTGCAAATTTTTTTTGTGCTTTTTTTGTTACTTTGCGGAATAGAATATTCAGAACAGCTTTTATTTGAAATAGAAGTCTTTTGTAACAATCTGAAAGTCTTTACTGTCACTTTTAATCACTTTTGATTTTGCTTAATAACAGTATTAAATTCTTTTCATAAAATCTTACTGACCACAAACGTTGAACTGACGTGCATTATTATTACAACATCCCACAAGCATGAATAGCCTTTTGTAGCCCAAACGTAAGTGCATATACAGAAACTGACTACCGTAGTCTGCCATCCCTTCTGAGATCCTTAATGTATAGAAATAACTTTTAATAGGCACACCATTAAACGCTGTCATCAGGGGAAGGGCAAGAGAATCTCAAACAGTTCAAAGTCTCTCACCTTTACGAGCTGATATAACTCGACTAGGAGTGGCAAAGACAGTGGGAGGAATAGGCTGAGTTGAAGAAGAGGAAGTGGGCAGTGTAGTTTTCGGGCTGGGTGAGGGGTAATAGTGACGGGGTCAGTTGCTGGGTGGTCAGAAGAACTGTATGCATGTGTGGTAAAACTCTTTGGGCATAATCGCAGGAATCTCAAATTTCTGCTATATCTTCATCTCAATCAGTTTTAAACACGTTTCCATGCTTGCATTAATGCAGTTTAAGTTAGTCACTTATATTCAGGATTTTACGTTTTGAGGTCCCAAGAGAACAGTAATCTGAGGGAAATGTTTCAGAAATCATGTGCTTTAGAATATCCCAAAATACCCAGCAGCTCTTTGGGCCAATCTGCTGTGTTTCAGTGGGCTATTCAAAAAGCAGACGTATGTTTTTTTTTATTTCAGTGCTAAATTTAAGCCCATTTCAATTTGTCCTCTTCGACAATATCTAGCTTAGAGATGCACAGCAGTATTTGGGAAGTGAGCGGGTGTTGAAATCTGCTGAGTGGTATTGTTAACAGAGCTTGCAGGTCGGTCTGTTGCTAGGCCTGACACTGGGGCCCACTTGAAATGTCAAATCTGATTGGCATGATTGGCTGTGGCGCTGTGGGAAGTGTCCTGCCTCGATCCAACGGAGAAAGCTGTCAGCAGATAGGGAGAAACCCAAACACAGTCGGCCACAAAGCTCGGCCATTCCTCCAAACCCAACATTCAAGGTAAAAAATAAATTTCGATGGGTTCTCCTTAACTCGTTCATGTGGCTTTTCTCTTTGCTTCTTTCTGCTTCCTCCTGTCCAGTGCCCTTGCTCGTCCCTGAACACTTACTGTACTTGATTTCTAAAAACAAATCCATACAGCACATTTGAATTAACAACATCTCTTCAATAACAGTGACGTAATCCATTTATACTCTGGAATCCGGCTTTAATGCGGCACTGGAATGCTGGAATGCTGCAGAAAAACAAACGCGGCAAAGGAAAATAGACAAACCAGGATAATGGTAGGCAGACTGGAAGAAAGCACACGAGAGACCCTCAGAGACAGAAAACATTCATCTTAGATGGAATGGTAAGAGCATGAAAGAATTGCTAATGTGTGTTGTTTTCCATCACAGGTATTTTTTGGTGCTTTTATTTAGAAGAGAGTGGACTGAAAGAACAGAAAATGATGGGGAAGGAGGGAAGGAACTAGTAAAAAAGAAATGCAAAACGAATTTTAACCCATGTTAGAGTCTATTTTAGTGTGTCAGAAACTTGTTTACTTCCGACTGTTACTCCAAAAACATTCTTTAATGAGGTGGATTAGGTGTGTTTGGCAGAGCACAGTCTTTCAGTTTCTTCCCTTTCCTTCAGGAAAAAAAGATAATGCTGAATTTGATAAGGAAAGAAGGTAGAAACTAGGGCTGTGCAATTTAGGAAAAATATATAATAAAGATGCTTTTGACAGATATTGTGATTTGATTTTGTAGTCAAGATTCAGCTCAATAATCTGTAAGTCGTGGCTACAATTTAGCCCCCCTGTTTATTTTTTCCTCCATTTTCTGTTTAGCGGAGAGATTTTTTAACATATTTCTATTTCTATATATAAACATAATAGTTTTAATTACTCATTTCTAATAACTGATTTATTTTATCTTTGCCATGATGACAGGAAATGCTATTTTACTATATCTTTTTCAAGACACTTCTTTACAGCTTAAATTGACATTTAAAAGCTAAACTAGGTTAATTGGGTTAACTAAGCAGGTTAGGGTAATTAGAAAAGTTACTGTATAATTATGGTTTGTTCTGTAGACCAGTGGTCACCAAACTTGTTCCTGGAGGGCCGGTGTCCTGCAGATTTTAGCTCCAACCCTAATCAAACACACCTGAACAAGCTAATCAAGGTCTTACTAGGTACACTTGAAACATCCAGGCAGGTGTGTTGAGGCAAGTTGGAGCTAAACCCTGCAGGGACACCGGCCCTCCAGGACCGAGATTGGTGACCCCTGCTGTAGACTATCAAAAATATAGCTTAGAGAGGCTAATAATTTTAATTTTAAAATGGTGATTAAAAAATTAAAAACTGCTTT